CCCAGGGTGCCTAGGTAGAGTCGAGCTACTTAGCGACATCATGGGCGGACCAGCTTGTTTCGGCTTCCAAATATGTATTGAAAACCTCCGGTTCCGGTCGCTATGCCGCTATGCGAACAAGAATAGATGATTTTGATGATAGCTTGAGCGTGATAGAAGGCACCATGTAGGAGATGAAAGACCAACGGGTTCAGGTTACGCTACCATACTGATCTGTAAGCGCTAGCATGAGTCATTTCACGCTAGGAAATCTCAACCCTCCAGTCAAACCTCCGGCCAAACCTCCGGTCAAGCGTACCGTTTGGTTCTTCAGGCTTCACTCATTCTCTCACTTGGTCCCTTGCGTATCGATCGCGGCAGACTTTCTTAAATCTGGAGTCTTCCCATGCAGTGAGCCTTCGCACATCTTAATTTATCGACTCGGCAAATCCTTCGGGGTTGGACGCGAGCCTGAATGGCGAAGGACACAGCGAATACACGGAGGCTCCGCATCGCATGCGACCGATGTTATGATCTCAAGGAGCGATGTGTTCGCGAGTGCGTTACAGCGACTTGCGTCAGATGCGAGCGGTTGCGCTTGCACTGCTCAACTGACAGGCCAGTGCGCCCATCTGGCCGTCGACCGCAACACGGTAAGCGGACGGTTTCGCAGAGGAGCTCGACGTTACTCAACAAATCGGAACCAGCGTCAATTGATGTGAGCACCAAGTTGCAATATGTTCCCGACTATGATATTTGCGCGGAGGAGAAAGAGCTGTTAATGTTCTTGCTGGGTCAGCCTGAGAGAGTTCAGTCGCTAGTCGTGCTCCGCAGTTTTGCAATCATCGAACAACAGGCACTAGCAGCTTTGCTACCTTTTGCACTGCCAATACTCAAGCATGCTTACCTTGCATGCGCTGTCTGGCTCAAATCGCTCCAGTATGGCACTGGCGAAGAAGTCGCTAGAAACGCGGGAGTCCTTTTCGCATCCCCCGCCATGAGCACATTGCGTACACTCTCTGTCACGACCGAGCAGGACGCCACTCTGTGCCTTGCTCTCGGGAACACATTGGCATTCTTCGTCTATTCGAGCATTGGCTACGGCGTCGCAGATATCTGCCACTACTGCATTAGTGCAGTGAGCCCAATCATAACTTCTACGCCACCAAGTTTGCCTCTGGAGTCATGAAAAAGCTTCCTTGAACTTCTCGAGGTGATGGAATGTTTGACACATCGCCGGTCGCCAACACCAAGAGCACTGCAGCAGCTACAAGAGCGCGTGGATAGAAAGCTTGGCCTCTGCCTGCCTTTACTGCCACATTTTCAGGATCTCTGCATCATCAGCCATTCCTTGTCAAACGAGACCGATGCAAGTTGCATAGCCCGCATTCATGCTCAGCTGGACAAAATCTATACCGCCGTGGATGAATGGATCCCGTCGCACGCACGTCAGATACTTGACCACTTCGACTCCACTGAGCTCGTCCATCTTCTTGCGCAAGCTAAGGTTTACCGACTAGCTGCACTATTGGTGGCTCATAGGTTAAGACACGACTTTGGGAGCGAAGATGACAAGGCTGATGTCTGGTCAAATGAAGTAATGAGGGAGCTTGAGCTTACGAAGCATATGACGAAGCAACCGCTACGATTCGTCACGCTACCGTTCATAGTAGCAGCCATTGAAGTCAGAGGTACGGAAGCGCGCGTTAGCACACTGCAGGCGGTCAAAGATTACGTCGATGGTTTTGCACCAGTCATCCAGCGAGCGACGACAACTTTTCTCTCGCGGATCTGGCATGAACGAGATATCACGACGACAGCTCGTTGGTTCGATTCAATTTCTAAGCCATGCGTTGTTTTGCATTCAATAGACACTGCTCTCTGTTCCTGAGAGTTGCGCGCTAAGGCTAAGCATTTGCGTACTACCTCCTACACTACGAGGGGTACAATAATGACAGTAGAGCCTGGAACGAGAAGGCAGAAGGCAGGAAAGAATCTGATCCCCGCGCACACAGGACGATAGCCTCGAACAGCCATGAGGCAGAGCGGTAGATAGTAGAGTACAGCAAGGAGCTGAACCAGTCTACGTATCCTTATCTCTGTTTGAGCGCAAGACTAGACAGCGTGTCGAGCTAGACATAAAAGCACTCTGCGGCTAGGCTAAGCGCGCGAAAGAGGAAATAGATGTACAAGTACTATCGAACCAACAGTCAAGCTACGTGACTCTGGGCACGACAATGAAGAAAGAACAAGTTGACTCCTCAAAGAAGACGTCCTAAGGCTGAGAGCATAAAACACAGAGCGTCGCGGCAGATCCGCAATGTAACACATTCCTAAGGAGGAGCAGGGGTAATTACGTGAAATTTCTACGAAATGAGACAACGTGCAAACTACTGCGGAACTGTTAAGAATCGGAGAACTCTGAAGTACATGATCAAACCTCTATGCTCACGAAGCAGAAGGTTTTATGATCTGGCTGACTTCCCTCACGACTATGGTCCGCGGACACAAGCATAGGTATCTTTCCACAAGCCACTGCAGTCTGCCTTTACAGCCGGATTCCACTTGTAGAACTGCGCCAACGTGATCTTCTGGTAGCTCAGCACCTGCTGACATGTCGTAGAACCGCCAATAAAGTGCCACAAGGTGCAGCCTTTGGTCATCCCGGATTGGATGGGTGAAGGTGTTGCGGGTCCGCTGGACGTCTGCGTTGGGGATGGTGTAGTTGTGGTCGGGGACTGGCCGATGACACCGATGCATGCATATGTGCTGCCCCAGATGTTTGTGCATCCGCTGTTCAATCCATTCCACGATATGATGTCTGCTACTCGGGCACCAGTCTTCTGGTTGATGACATCGCACGTATATCCTCCTTCAACAAAGAAGAACTTATTACAGTTCTTCACTATTCCTGGCTGAACTGGTGTTGGCGTCGATACGCCATTGCCGGACTGGGTAGGACTTGGAGAAGATGAGAAAGTGGACGAAGTCGAGCCACCAATCACGCCGATGCAAGCATACGTGTCGCCCCAGATGTTGGTGCATCCGCTGTTCAATCCATTCCATGCAACGATATCGGCTACTCGCGCACCGGTCTTCTGGTTGATAACGTCGCATGTATCTCCTGATTCAACGAAGAAAAATTTGTTGCAGTTCTTCACGATCCGTGGCTGCACAGGCGTCGGAGTCGAAACACCATTGCCAGACGGAACTGAAGTTGTAGGAGAAGGGCTGGGTGAGCCACCAATTATGCCCACGCAGGCATATGTGTCCTGCCATAAATTGGTGCATGCATTGTTGAGTCCATTCCACGAAATAACGTCGGCAGTGCCTATGCCATACTTTTCAGCCATTGTGCCGCAGTTGTCTCCCGATTCGACGAAGTGGAAGGTTTTGCAGTTGCTCACCATCCCGGGGCGAACGGGCGATGGTGTAGCCACGCCGTTACTGGAAGTCGGAGTGGCACTGCTAGTAATGACACTGGAAGAGGTTGGTTGGGCGGGAGAAGGGGACGACGTGGGCTTGGAAGTGGGCGTGTTGGCTTTGGAACGCGATGAGCTAGGTGTGCCGGACGTTTTCTGGGTAGTTGTTGGTGCGGGCTCCTTGACAGCCTCGACGCAAAAGCTATTGCCGGACACAAGTCCAGTGCAGTCAGCGCCGATAGAAGGGTTCTTAAGCAGCAGTCAGTTCATGCAGATCGAGGGTGGTGTTTTGTCTGTACATACCCAGCGGCGAAAAGCATCTAGCTCAATCCAATTGTCGTCGAGGACTTCCTGACAGGTCATGGAACCATCGTAGTCGATCCACCAAGAGCAGTAGGACGTGGTTGCTGGATCGGAAGCCAGGCTCGGTGTTTTCCCGCTGCGTGACTGGATACGTGAGGTCGCCGCTAGCCCTCCTGTACAGAGGCCAAGCACAGAGAGGGTGGTCACGGTACCGCCGAGCGTGAAGGCGAACATGACTGACTAGTAGTAGAGAGGACAGAGTAGAGGACTGAGTTGATGGACTTGACTGGTCCCCGTATTTTATGTGTAGATTCTGTATTGCCCCTGATGTGCTTGTGGGCATTTGCAGTGGTAGAAGTGTTGGCCCCCAGCATCCTAGCAGCGCTAGCCTTAGCAGCACGAGGCTTCATCTTCTGGTGTCCGTACGGAAGGATGAATGTAACCATCCGGTATAGGAGAGTCGCGTAGGTTCTGCCTCGGTCATTCTCGTTGATTGCGGCCTACCATTCTAGGAATTACTGCCCAGACCGATTGTGACCTTGATCTCAAGATCCTGGGAGCCAAGGCCGCATTGTAGTAGTCACTCTACGATGACTGACGGCCTAATGCTCGACTTTGGCCACCAACACGAAGCACACTTTGAAGAATCCTACGATCTTGTAAGGCGTTCCGTAACTCACTCTAATAGGCGAGCAGTGCAATCAATGCCCTCCTCAACGTCTGTTCTACTTGGGTAACATCCACCTCGCTTCCGAGGCCAAGCATGGGAGACTCGCCTCGACACTTCATATTTATTGCGTAAGCTGACAGCTTGTTTGCCAGTAGCTAGTCTGTTACGCCCTGCATGATGGACCAGGTGTTCGTCTTACACTGTCGCGCTCGCCGAGGCACGGGAAATGGATGCACACTTCTGTGGTTGGATAGACAGGGCTCTGCATGAACCCAATATGGAGCCGCTTAATTTATCTTGAGAACACCTGGGTAGAGTTCGGGTACCTTACATATGGAATTGCTGCAGGGGTCCACATCAGCACGGGCCGTCTAGCTCCCGAAGTCTAGACAGCTTGGGCATACATCGATTTAGCCGTTATTGCATCACTACTTCCATTCGTGTGCATCGCATTCTTCGATTATTGAATTACGGTACCAAAATATCTCGCTAGATGGCTCGACATGCCTCTCGCCAGGCTGCTTATGCCATGGTTGGCACCCACTTCCCCTGCATAATCCGCAGCGACCGCGGCTTGTGAAGCATGTGTTGTAGACAATCTCAGAAGGTCCTCAGAGCGACCTTCTTCAGCATTTCTTGCGCGCTGGCATACTCAACGAATCGATGCCTCGTTGCAGCGCCATGATAGCCAGTCCTTCGCCAAATTCGCGCTTCTGGATGCTACGGCCGCTTCCCATCCCGATATCTCTCTTGAGGCTGCTTTCGAGATCGTTGTTGTTGATGGACTTGGCAATGGCAACAATCTCCGCGCGCATGACCCCTCGCTTTGTGGATTGTACTCCTTCAATAGTGGCTATGGCGTCGAATTCATCGAAGTCTCCGCCTTGCCAGGAGATGGACTGCGTTTTCGCAGAACCCACGCGGGCTTTGCTAAGTCGGCCATTTATGTAGTCGAGCATGGCTTTGGCCTGCAGGCTGCGTCTGCTGAGTTGCGCAGCTTGCATTCCAGTGACAATCCTGCTGAGGCGTTCAGAATCTCCACTTGAGCGAAGGCTCGACATGTAGTCAACAAGCCGCTCAATTACGATAGCATGACCAGGGCGAGATTTCGTGTCCTCGTCGCGCCATAGTCCACCAAGGAGCTTTTTTGCATCGTAGACAAGATCATCTCTTTGCTCCCAACCCTCTACGTCGTCAAGGCTGGGGTTCATAAGGTCTCCGAAACGACCATCGAGATTTGAAGCCATCCCAAGGCGGTCGATATGGATAACGAAGTCCTCAAAATTGCAATCTTTGCATCCTTTAGCAACCTTGAAGTTGCTGTTATCTTTTTCGTAATCGACACGATACATGTCGAAGAACATGAGTATTTCGTATGCGTTGAGCTCGGCAAGAACAAAGATGGGGCCAAAGGCCAACACAAGAAGGTACAAAAGCTTCATGTTGATGGATGAGGTCTGCGGTTTCTTGTCAAGAATGACCAGATAGTCAGAAGCAACCGAAGGAATTACTTGCAAACCACGTTGGGCGGTCCGAAATAAGAAGGAGAGATGTAATGACTCCGCTCTTCACTCCCATTTCCGAGCTTGTCATCTTTTAATTACGATCCTAGTCAACAGTCTCGTGCCAACATCTTGGCAATGTTACCCTACACCCAGACCAATACATTGTTCATCCGTGCTAGCTCCGCACGACCCTGCAAGAATATTACCACAATCCTTCATCCCTCGTAAAATCTGACTGACAATAGATTACTCCCACTAGAAGTGCATGATACGTGTGGCGAATTCCCGAGGCGCACTTCAAAGGGGCACATCTTGAGCATAATCGCTCAATTCCCTGATGCAGGTCTTGTCAGACGGGTTACTTATATTGATCACTGAGTAGACTTTGGTCTGCACAGAAGGTCATCTTCTTCATTCTCAACATCATTCATTCCTGTTGCTGCAAAGCCAGTTCGTGATTACGGACCTCGTCTATCGTCTCTTCTTTTTCAATCCTATACACTCATGATATTTTTGTCATTCTTTTCGGCACGTCCTTGCACCATGTACTCGTCCGCTCTCTTCATTGTCTTCTTCACACTCATTTTTGGTGTTCAAACGCATGCTGAGAGCGACGCTGCGAGTCCTATAAATCCATGTCCTGTTCGATGTAGCAAGTCTGGATTGGATGCTCTGAAGTGGACGTATCTTCATGGTGTCGTCGCACTCAATCGATGCAAAAAGCCCCTGCTTTTCAGCACTATGCTGGACATCCCCGTCAACTCTCCCGACAAGCACATTACTATTCGTGCCTGTACGGATTCCGAGGATGACACAAAACAGGCACCCGACTATGATCCTGTGCCGTTCACCTTTGGTACACCAAAGAAGCGATCCGAAAGGTTGCAGTCTCCAGGCTGTCCGTCAAACATGGCTCCAAAGTCTAACCAGACTTCGGTTTACTACCATGAATGGCACACGAACCCGGCCGAAATGGACAGCACGGCCAGTGATGAAGATGCCGCTGCGGCTCTTCGAACGCTGAAAAGCTACATCACCAAGACCGGTGACTGTAGACACATTACGATGTTCGCTAAGGTCGGATCGGCTACTGTGGGAGCTTTTGTTGGTCACGCGGTCGATCGAGAGGCCTTCAGCCCCGTAGTTGAGCGCCTCATTTCAGCAATACAGTCCAGTGGAAGTGGCGAAACCAATCGCTTCACCGTACAAAACTACAAGGAAACACATTCATCTTCCTTGGGTTTTGGCATCGTTGCGGACCTTCAAAACAATATCACCGCAGCCCAGGAAGCGGTTTCTAGCTGGAGTCAGGGTAGAAGCCCCTCAGGCGCTGATACAACTTCTGGGTGGTCAGACTTCGACATCAAATACTGGCTTGTCAAAAGTATGAACAGCTCCTCAAATGCGACGGCGAATAACTCCACGAATCATTCTTCTAATGCTACCTCGTCTCTCAACTTGCATCGAAGGGCTACTTGTAGCTATCAAGAGGTATTCAGCGGTGACGATTGCTATGGGTTAGCAGAACGATGTGGTATCAGCTTGACGAAGTTCTACAAGTTCAACCCTGGAGAAGACTTCTGCAACAAGCTCAAACCTAAACAGTTTGTCTGCTGTTCGGCTGGCGACCTCCCTGACTGTAGGTGAAATCGCTGTCCTGGCTTTTGACTTGAGGACTAACATTCATCCGTAGTCCGCCCAAAGAAAAATGCTGATGGCTCGTGTTTTTCGTACGACATCAAGGATGGTGACGGTTGCTGGGCCCTTGCCGATGCGAATTATCTCACCACGAAGGGCATAGAAGATCTCAACAAGAACACGTGGGGCTTTGCTGGCTGCGACAACCTTCAACCTGGCCAGAAGATATGCCTTTCCGATGGCGAACCTCCAATGCCAAATCCTATCGAAAATGCCGTCTGCGGGCCGCAGAAGCCAAATGGAGAGGTTCGGGGTAACAAAAAGCTTGCCGATATGAACCCATGCCCCCTGAATGTCTGTTGTAACGTCTGGGGCCAGTGTGGAATGGACAAGGACTTCTGCATCGAGAATCCAGCTGATACAGGCGCTCCTGGTACATCGAAGCCGGGCATGAACGGATGCATATCTAATTGTGGGATGAATATCACCAACAATGCCAAAGGGCCAGCGAGCTTCGCCCACGTCGCCTACTTCGAGGCTTGGAATCAGGATCGCCCATGTTTGCATATGGACGTCACAGATATCGACACAAAGAAGTATACCCATATCCACTTTGCGTTTCCAAATGTTACTGCTGGAGATTTCAAAATCGACGTCGGTACGCTAAAGGACCAGTTCGAAAAGCTGAAGAAGATGACTGGCATCAAAAGGATAGTGTCACTTGGCGGTTGGGCCTTCTCAGCTGATGCACCAACCTACACCATCTTTCGTCAGGCTGTCAGTCAAGCCAACCGTGCTACATTTGCAGACAATGTGGTTGCTTTCGTAAACGAGCATGGCCTTGACGGTATCGACTTTGATTGGGAGTACCCTGGTGCCCAGGATATCACGCCCGTTCCCGGCGCCGCCGACGAAGGCACCAACTATCTTGAGTTTCTGAAATTGGTCAAACGTCGTATGGGAAGCAAATCAGTCTCGATCGCGGCTCCTGCCTCGTATTGGTATTTGAAGGCGTTTCCAATCAAAGAGATGTCTAGTGTCATTGACTACATTATCTACATGACCTACGACCTGCACGGACAATGGGACTATGGTAACAAATGGTCAAGTCCTGGCTGCCCTGAAGGCGACTGCCTACGTTCGCATGTCAATATGACCGAGACAACTACTGCACTAGCTATGATTACAAAGGCTGGCGTTCCCTCATACAAGGTTGTGGTTGGTATAGCTAGCTATGGTCGCAGCTTCAAAATGGCCGAAGAGGGTTGCACGAGCGAGATGTGCAGATACACAGGCAGTAGGACTGTGTCAGATGCGATGCCGGGACCTTGCACTGGAACGGGCGGCTACATATCTTCTGCAGAAATTCGAGAGATTTTGTGGAACAAAGAGCTTCTTGGAGTCAAGGAATGGAGCGATGACACCGATACCGACTATCTTGTGTACCAAGACACAGAGTGGGTAGCATGGATGACCGACGAGACCAAGCAAAACCGCATCAACAAGTACACAAAACTCAATTTCGGGGGAGTGTCGGACTGGGCTGTCGACCTCGACAAGGACTATGGCGATAGCGGCATTGGTAACAACGGCGAAGACGACGACAACCAAATGGGTGGTAAGAACTGCCCCCTCACCAAGGAATACGCAGATCTCGAAGCTCTGGCGAACGATGGTGATGTATCGGACGACTGCAAGCCCGTTCTCGCTGTCAGCATTCTTGAGAAGATGCTGGATGGTTCTATCACCAAATACAACGACGCAGACAATGGCTACGACAAGAACTTCGAGGCTTATGAACGAGTCATCAAGAAGAGTGCCGAGGCGGCTTTTAAAAAGTTCGCGGACTGGGAGTTCGGCAACATCCGAAAGTACACTGATTGTGACTTTCAACGATCCGGCGGGAAAGACAAGTACAACGGTCCCTGCGAGGACTTGATGAAAGATGATCCTTTGATCTTCCAGGGTAAAATGACTATGAAGATGACGATCAGAGATAGCGATGGCTTCTATGATACCCTCGAAGCAGAAGCGGGCATCATCTCTGATTGGATCGAACTCGGTGAATTCCACGAGGAGGTGAACGACTGCTCGAGTTGCCAAGGGCAACCCGCTTGCCTGTGCATCTACAGAGACGTCACTGTCACTGGTATACCTGTTCTCAAGAAGGATTTTGGCATTCCTGATCCCAAGGAGATTATCAAGAGCATCGATCTTGAAGCCACCAGAAATGCCATGTCCGCTCGCTTCTTCGATATCGTGGCAGGTATATGGGATGGCTCCAACGGCGATGTGGTTCAAGTCCTCTCAGTGCCAGTCTTTCTCTTCGCGCAAGCTGTGGACTCGATGGAGGAAGCGAAAGAGAAAGGCGGAGAGATCAGAGAAGAGGAGAAGAAGAATCTCATCATTACAATTATCTCGGCCCTTCTTTTCTTGATTCCTTTTGTTGGCGAATTCGCAGCGATGGCGGCGGGCGCAGCCACCGTTGCTCGCATGATTGCTATGGCCGGAATGATTGGGAATGCCGCTTTCACTATCGCAGACGTAGTTGCCAATCCGGAAAACGCGGCCATGGCTATTATGGGGCTGCTAAGTGCTGGACGCGTCCGTAAACCTCGAGACTTCGCAGAACTGGGCGCCGCTCGGCGAGCGCAGACCAAGTTCGACGTCAGCAAGATGGGTGCAACATTCAAGAAGCACGATGACTCTTTGCAAAAAGTACTCGGCAATTGTCGCAAGGACGGTTCAAAAGATGACGACAACAACAACAACACATGCAGACCAAAGAGAAGCTTGCTTGAGCTCAGTTTTGACACAAGCAATGGTCGCTTTGATTCACGACTTTCCCCGATGAATATCATTCATGAAGTTCATTACACGGAAGTTACTGCCCGGTTGCAACAAAGAGCTACCTCCTGCAACAACGGACCCATCACAAGGACAGACTCAACCACAACGACAAGCATCTCTACGTTCATGACGACGCCTCCAATGACCTGCTCAGAGAAGTGGTCACAGGCATGCTATCACTATAGTTCGGTGATGAGCGTTCATACAAACACGCCTGATATGGTTCGATTCACGTGTTGGGCGACGTCAAGTACTAGTAAACACGGCAAGGCAACAGATGACTGGGGTCTCTGGGGTAGTCGCCCAAGCATGCCCAGGACAGCTCAGCATCACTGGGAATGGTCAAAAGAATGGACCGAGTTCGGCGATTGCGAACGAGATGAATGGCCGCCGCGCTACTTCTGGGGACAGAATTCACAGAGTCCCAGGAAGAAGGCCGGGCAATTCATCCGCTTGATACCTCAACCTGACAACGGCGGAGCGGGTGGGATCTGGAGTGCGTTCTGTCCCAGCCACGATGCGTGGAAAGACGCGGCCAAAAGGACAATGAGAAATGGCGCAGCCACAACAACAAGTTCGACAGTCTCACAAAGGGTCGGAGGGGGTACAACAAGTAAGTAACGACATCCGTCTATGATGGTCGCCATGCTAAGATACCATGAAGCATACATTACAAGCGTTGGTGTCGAAGTGCCGAACGCTGTTTTCGAAATCAGACACTGGAAACACACAAGATTGACCTCTCATGCTGACGATGGATTGAGTGTTAATCGATGCTGGCCGAGCACTCTGGTACCTAACGATCCTGGCTTCGCACTGCTCACCGACGATCCATGGTACCAAAATCACGCAGCAGCCGCTATCAGCACATATTTGTACAGTGCAGCACCTCCTAACGCCGTGACAAGCGGCAAGTCAAAGTATCGCACGCTGCCTAACCGACCTTGGATTGCAGCCCGCTCAATGAATTTGCTCGATGTCATGCTGGGCAATGTTACCTCCCTAGCGCTGGGCTCACTTCCATCTACTACGGGACCAGACAGGTCTGACCAGGTAGTGCGTGCGCTCGACGTTGATGAAGCCTCATTTCCAGGAGCCTCGGGTAATGCTTCTATTGTGACGCGCTCACCATCCGCCACGCCTCGCGAGGTAATGGCTCAGCCCTCTCTCGTAGGCGCCGTGGAATACATACAGCCCGCGACCCCAGGATCCCCAATTTCTCTAGGAATACAACCAACAGATGTATAAAGATCACGGCCAGACCCTCGTTACAGTACAAGTTCTTGAGAAGAATCCCATCTCTCGACTTCTAGGCCGTATGCAAATTGGAATAGACCCACTGCTGCAATGCACTATCAACGGGTGTTTCTCAGATCGGTTCCAGGCAGTGACGAGAGTTGTACTCAAGGAAGAGTTCTCCCCAGTATCATATATAGATAGACAACATGCCCAAGAAGTTACTTAGTCGTTCCTGTTGTATCCTTTGTATCGTATTCGCGCCAGTGACTTCAAAAAAGAACATCCGTGTCAACTGCAGAGGTAGCGACCACTTGTTGGACTCAGAGACAGGTGGAAGAATGACGCCACGTACATCTGTTCAGCGCCTGGTCGTTGCACTCGTCTACTATAGCAAAAGCGATTCGCAACTGGATATTTATCAGCCATCGCGGTGGTTCATTTGAGTAATCACTCATGTGCTAAGGCCGTTAGTAATCTCTCTCTGCTCTAGGATGTCGGCAGCGACAAAGTTGCCGACAGTCAAGTGGCCAAGAGTTGCTGATCCTTTAGTGCTTACTCTGTACGGCCCTTTTCTCCCCATTTCTCACCATCGCACACGTTATATCCGACCGGCAACATCGATTGAAATTCGCAAAATACTGTGTAGACTTCAATCGTGCTGGGGAGTCCTGGATATCCCTTGAGACCTCGTAGCACAAGAGCCTGTTCACCTTTTGAGCCAGATTCATGCCACTTTTGGCGTCCATCGGATCGTCATCGCCATCCTATCATGCCTCAACACGGACACGTAAACCGCCGAGTCTACATAAATGCGCAGGATTCACTTCTACTAAGAATCTTTCGTGATCGTTAGCTAACCTAACCTGCTATTGCTGTGCTATCTAATTGTCTGCATAGCGTGTTGATGGTCCGCAAGAGATAGTAGAAGGTCGTGTAAGAGCACGGCGACTCCAGTTAGAAAGGTGATGGTGAGCCAGAGGTGAAGTCGCATCACCGACATATCCACGCGAGATGATACAATACTTTTGCCGTTATGCTTGGAAGCAAGTAGTATAGAGGCATCATCATACGCAGATCTGTTTTGATGATCAATGCTGCTACCACTCCATCAGTCTAGCCCGTTAGAGTCAATATGATCGCCAAGCTGCTCTTGAAACCACTGTCCGTCTGCAGTCAAGCAAATATCCCTGACCTCATCAGATAAACTTGACAACGAGACCGATGAACGGGCATGTGAGAACTCATTGTGGCTTAGATTGAGTCCTGTTACTGCCTTCTAGCCCCGGCATGGCCGACTTGGGCCGTCCAGGAATCTCCATCTGCTACCGAAAATCTTCGGATTGCACAACGAATGCCTAGATCTCGTGTGATTCCGAGTCTTTGGTCGCGAAAGTGAAAGTAATCAGAACAAGAGCTCGATTCATAATCGAGCAAGATAGATCAGGTAGATTGGGGCAGAGACACGTGCAAGGGCTAGTACATGGTTCGGCCACTACAGGAAGCGCTACTCAATTAACCGTGGGGTATGCGTCCAGATGTCCAACCCAGTCTTGACTCCTGCTATAGGTGGAAGCCCAGCATGAAGGGTTCTTGGGTCGCCAGCCCCAGCGTTATCGAGGTTTTTCCAAAACAAAGCATTTCCTGGAATGGGTCGTATAGTAACGCCTTCATGGTCATTACAATCAACAAACTGACACCACCTCGTATCCTCTTTCGACCAATCAATTCTCAAATCTGGGAATCTCGTTCCGCACGTCTCGCAAGTTGCCTCAAGAATGGCGAAAAAGGTTGTAATACGTTGCGTCTCGTTCTCTGGCACTGGCTCAAATTGTCTATGATCCCAGTGAGGTTTGAATTCTTGGCCGGCGGAATATCGAGTCATCTGAAGTGGTTCGTGATCTTCCAAAGACGTATAGCCTTGAAAAGAGGAGGCACGAGATATGATTCGCTGGACTACCGGGTCTGAGCTGTTCAAGACAGCAGTGGAACTTGTTCGCTCATTCGAGATAGCTGAGCTGTTCCCGATACCGACTGTTGATCTCATAAACAGATTCTCGCTGTTCGATGTCAACATGTCATGAGCTCATGTTCGGGTAACGACATACCCAGCCTGAAGGAGATGATTTCTCTCATATTTTGGCACGAAGTCTATTATGTAGATCATCAAAGGGTCGAAGGAGAGTATTCGTACCGAATACGCGTCGTTATACTGCAGCCTGGGGATGGATAAATGGAGCTGTGACCAGGACAATGCTGCTAGTATAGAGAGAACGCAGCAAGTTAGCGCTGGGCGACCGAGGGGATTGAACCACGCCGAAGAATACATCGTAACTGGACGAAACAAATCGAATGCTAAAGGCTCACTCCAAGGGATGAGCTGAGTTCGAGTTCTGTTTTGGCATTGCCTCATTATTCAGAGGAACAATGTGGGCGATGTACAAACGTACAACATCGTGACTAAGTTGAATCGGACCGCGGAGTGAACTCGTTCCGCAATGCCAAAATCGGAAATAATGTCATAAGAAGGGCCGCAGAGTAGTCATTCTTCACGATATCCATAAGTCGTGTACATGAAAAGAACAAGGCTGGGGTTTAAACCCTACGTAGTGCTGACGGAGAGGATTGAGGCCAGTTCCTGACTCGTAGTGGCATTCAAGTATATAAAGTACAAATGTTATCATACATTCGATACTGCCCTCAACTACCCCTTTCATCAAGCTACTTCCAATCAACTGTCAAAATGAAGTTCGCTCTTGTAACACTCGCTCTCTTCAGTGTAGCACTGGCTGTGCCAAACTCGCAATATGTCGCACGTGACGCTCAACGAGGCCCCGTTCGACCGCCCGGCAACACTTGCTCTATCACAAATGGCTGCAGAGTTGTAAGTTCCTAGCTCATAATCTTGCATCGCAACCTGCTAAGAGATTGGACTTTTAGGAGGGAACCACGTGTATCTGCCCCTAGGATTGATCACAACATTCGCTCGGACTCCTTATTTCACAAACGAGTTGGAAAGATGTGCGATTAATTGACAGCATTGGAACGGCTGGTGGAGCATATAGATCAAGCAATATGAGACGATTTTGCAAGATCAATCGAAGTCCATAGTCCGCAAACACTATCATGTCGTGAATGACCAAGCATCATGTTGGCAGCGGCCGCCCAGCATCCTTGTGCCCCTTTTGAGTGAGCCTCATGATGCATGGTTCCCATTGAATCACGTCTTCTTAACGCGGCAACGCGGCTTGACTAGCCTCTTGCAACTAATGTTACAGCGAGTTAGGTAGAACAAGATTATGGCAGGAGATATTGGTTCTTGTCATATACGCTACATGACCTGGAATTACTCCTTGCTCTGTGCATTGCTGCGGTGTTCAGACTTAACGTTGAACTGATCTGTCACGACAATGATATCCTTCCCTTGCTGTTCACTAGTAGCCCCTTGGATGTGTTCAAGCCTTAAGTCCTCTTCGTTCAGAATATGCTCTTCGCTTTCGTTGTCAAAAGTCAGATCTGTAATGTTGTGGCGCGCCTCGTGTGGTGCCGCTCGGCTGATTCTGGCGACACCTAAGCCACCGTCTCCCAAGCCACCACCTATGGTTCTAAAATCACTGCCTGGAGGCGGCTTTTGTGGCTTTGAATTGCTCGATCCGATCGTACTGGACAAGAACGGGGCGAACCAGTTCTTGAGTAGGGGAAAGATCATAGGCAGGTTTGTGGTAAAGATGGCAATAAAAGTTTCACGCGTGCCCCAAGAAGCTGTGAGCTCGGCGCTGTTATGGGGATCCTAGAGGGCAGCCAATGTCATTATCGCGAAAACATCGTTCAGTGGAGAGTTTCTTACACTGATGAGATAGAAGCTCTTAACTACCGCGCACACGATCACCAGCATGCCAGCGCCAAGTACTATCATGGCCGCTATCTTCTTGTATCTCTTCATACTCGACTTCCATAACATCGGCATTGGTATCAACAGCAGGTATATGTCAGTGAGTACGTTGAAAACGAACGTTACCCAAATGAGATTCTTCGATACCGCTGCTGTACATGCATTTCCAGGATCCGGATTGATTTGCCAGTAATGGTGAAAAGGCCGGCAGGAAAGATAGATCGTGAAGATTACGGCGATGAAGCTAGTGACAATGAAAACGAAGGCGACACAAATGCGGGTCGTATACTTATAGAGACCGTTCTATGTAATGATCGTCAGTCTAAGCTCGTGCATAAGATGCGATGAACACACATACTGTAAGACGAAGGTAGAAAAGTGCGACGCAAAGCTTGAGTGACCAAAGCAGACATGCGGCGGTCGTCCATCCTGCTACTTGGATTTTAGATCCGGTAACCCTGCAATCACATTAGCTACAAGAAAGAATGTTGTTGCACCTTTGGCACTTTGCACTGGCTCTTAAAATACCTCATGCCATACTCGGGATCGTCTCGCGAAAGCGCACTGCGCTCATGAGGTGTCATGCCATCATTTGCGAAACCATGAACATATACCCCTAGGCTGTACCCAAGGCTGCACTGAGCTGTATAAATGAGCTGGCGATGAGGCCGTTAGCAGAGCTCGACAAATAGTTAAGAATGATTCTAGTTACTCACGATCGCAATCCATACGAGATAGTCGTCAACTTGAAGTTGGCGATAGCCTACCGCTGAGATCCTCGCGTATGTGCGCAAAAACGTGAAAGAGACGGCGAATGCGTAAAGAGTCCACAGTTCCACAACACCCATGACGACACTTTCTGGAATAGCGTGCTCGGTCACAACTCAGCAGCAGTAATGCCATTGATCTCCAGAATCGAACTAGGTCGGAGAGCATTGCGACGGCACCGGATATATATCCTTTACCTCCCCGTGTTCGCGATAAGCCACAAACACTAGTTGAATGAGCATATCCTTAAGCTAATTGCATCTCTGTGATCCGGAGTCACATTTACCGCCAAGCTTGAGTTTGCGGGCCGACCCTATGCAAGGCGTAGTTAACTTAACCGCAAATTTGTTGGCTTGACATGCGGTATATCGAAAATGCGGAGCAGATCGTGAAGGCGCGTCAGCGAATACGATATCAAAGCGGGCAATGACCTCTATTAGTAAACCCTGTTGAATTCGACGAGCGACTGGCCGGGAAACCAGGTTTTGCATGGAGAAAAGACCGTGTTCTTGGATCCGTCCTTGCCGCGAGACATCATACCTAGGCACTTGTATTTTGATGCTCTTGAACCCGAGATGTCTCCTACATGACTTGCGTACTACTCTGCGCGAATTCAAGCATCCGAAGTGTATTCGTTCAGTTCTCCGTCGACTTTCGAAATACTGATGCAGTCCTGAGAAGCACGAGACGCGTGGTCGCATGGCGCAGTCAATTGCCGGCGGCAAGGTCGGCAGAAGGCAAAACCCGTATCTCAGGGCAGGTATGTGAACTGCTCAAGCTACGGGGCTGTCTGAGCAGGACAGGACCGCCGCGCAGGCAATAGCCCGGGGAAAGCGGCTATTATTGCGCACGCGGTTGGCGGTGCGGCTCGCGGGATCTTGTCCGAGCGCCGAGCCAATCGCAGTAATGCCGGACCTCACGGGGGAACCTACCAGTTCGCTCGACAATATGCAGGCGCACGACTCGCAAATCTTCAAGACCCTCGTAGGATCGGATTCGCACCAATTGTGTAACCTCAGCTGCATGCTTCAATCTATGCTGTCCCGCCTCCACGACGTCTGGACCCTGAAAATAAGGCCTCCGTAAGGCGGTGCGGAAGTCTTCCTCATTCAGCATGGTGCTTTTCGCCCTCGATCAGTTATTTTGTTTTATTTGAGAAGGCTTGAGCCACTTCAGCACATTGGTAGCCTGCATTTGTACCTCGCATTAATTGGCAGAGCCATACCAGCGCCATGTATCCAAGCGTCCTGACACCATTGGCTGTTGCAGGCTGGATCTTGACCTCATTCGCGCCAATCGTTTCAGCAGGTCCTACTTCGGCGTTCGACATCTTTTCCAGGACCCCTGCGTCAGGCGTCGACGTGAATGCACTGGCGCCGTACCTTTCCGCCAACGCCAAAATCTATTTACCGGGCACCAAGGAGTTCGCTACTTACACAACTCGATGGTCCAATCTGGAGGCTCCCACGCCCAACGTGGTAATCGCTCCAGGTACCGAGAAGGATGTTCAAAAGATTGTGAGTTTTGCGATGGGCGTATCTGTGTATAAACAGGCAAGAACACATCTAATGCCATGTGCTGCAGGTCAAGTTTGCCAACGACTTCAACATTCCATTCCTCACCTACAACGGCCACCATGGGACACTCACAACCTTGGGAAAGATGGACTATGGTATTGAGATCTATCTTCCTCAATTAGACTCCTTCTCTATCGCCAAGGACGGAAAGTCGGTGACTGTAGGCGGCGGTATCAACGTGAAGAACATGACGGATGCTCTTTTGGCCGCTGGGAAGCAGACTGGTAAGCTCAGTTTTCGCACTCATGGTCATCCTGTCATGATCTAACAATGCTTAGTGACTGGATGCTGCGAATGCGTCAGTTATTTGGGACCCGCCCTTGGTGGTGGTCACGGGTGGTTTCAGGGTCGCTACGGCCTGATTGCCGACCAGTTTCTTTCGATGAATGTTGTTCTTGCAAATGGCGACTTGAAGACAATCGACAGCAAGTCAGACTTATGGTGGGGTATGCAAGGCGCTGGACACAACTTCGGTGTTGTCACGTCTGTTACCTCCAAGGTTTACGATGTCACACATTACGATTGGGCGATCGAGACTATCGTATTCAGCGGTGATAAGGTAGAGGAGGTTTACGATGCTGTCAACAAATACATCGTGCAGGATGGAAAGCAGGCTGATGACATCCATGATTGGACTTACTGGCAGAACGATGCAAGGTACAGCACTGAGGGGGTAAGATGATTGACGAGCACTCATGATTTCCGCAGCTAACACGAAAGCAGCCAGTGATCATCATCTTCATCGTTCAAGAGGGTGTGACTACTGTCGACACCAAGTACACGGCCCCCTTTCACGACATTGGTCCTCTCGCTGCTATACCTGAGTCCGGCACCTACAAGGATCTGGCAAAGTGGACTGGTATCGCGCTCGAGTCGCCTCCATGCCAGGATTTCGGCTTCAACAACCCTCGCTTTCCCATCTACATAACCTCCTACAACGTCACTGCACAGCGAAAGGCCTGGGATGTTTACTCCTCAGCCATCAAAGGTGCCGAAAACCCATATTATAACTCCATTTTCATGTTTGAAAACTACGCCAGTGCCGGTGTTCGCTTCCGCGACAACGATGCTAGCGCATACGGCTTCCGCGATGCGACCACCCTCGCTGCACCTTTGATCATCTATAACTCTACTGGCAAGGCAGAGGACGAAGCGGTCAAAAAGCTTGGCACTCAGCTTCGCGACATCATTCTTGAGGGAACCGGATCGCAGGACCTACACACCTACGTCAACTATGCGTACGGTAATGAAGGACCGGAGGCCTGGTATGGCCATGAGAGCTGGAGGCAGAAGAAGCTTAAAGCTCTCAAAAAGAAGTATGATCCCAAGGGAAAGTTTAGCTTCTACGCACCCATCGCGTGATAGAGGAAGATTAAATAAAGTGACAATGATAATAAGCTAATATATCACGTTCATGCTTCTGGTCCAACTAATGACAGTATCATGCAGCATTGATGATCATTAGCACACATAACACATGAACTGAAAGATGGCAAAAGCCCGCTCGATTCTAGCTCTTCTACAACTATTGTGTACTGTTGCTGACCTGGAACGTAGATTTAGAGGCATGGCATTCGCCTTGTTGATGGCAACACTACTTCGATATATCATATTCAATAACGATAAAAGATATCCCAATTGATTGTTTCGAAAGTTCGTATTCCTTGCGATCTAAGCTATGTAAACTCTGTTTCTCTTGAAAGGCTAGATACTCTGCTCATACCTTTTCGCAGTTCAAAAACCGGTATACTCGAATCCCACATATTGAGACTGCTTAACGGGTTTTCTATCACGCCGGCATTGTCAACCTTGATTCAGCGTACTTAGAATGTACCCATGTCACACAGACATTGCCTACAATATGCTCACGCGGTTTTATCATAACCATTTGCCGGAGTTTTGTAGTAGAGACAGGTTTTAGGACTTGTACCTGGAGTCTCCTGATTCCGGGGAAGTCCTCGAGGTTGAGATTGGATCTGGTGGTCTATGCCTGCTCCAGCTGTTCGTCTTTCAAAGGAGGAGCTCCGGATTGGTTGCTTCCCAAGAGGATGATGAACGTGATAGCCCTGCGAAATTCAGGCGGAAACTTGGCAAGCCAGCGGCGAAGATATCTGACCCCATGGAAGCACTTGAATGAACCGAGTGACCATGGCAAGACGCGGCTCTCACTGTATATTTGACGACAGACGAGGAGCAAATCCCGGTGGTCGTTCCGATTAGCTTTAGGTGTAAGATTGATCGCACGTCCTTTCGCATCGATATTCCATATGTTGCCGCCCAAAGTGAACTCGTAGATCCTGTTTCGCACCTCACCAGGAAGGTCGAGGAAGGGTGAGGTAGCAAGATTGTGCTCGGTGCTACGAGAGTTGAGAACATGAACATAGCATTGCGGACGAGAGACTTACATCCTTTGGAATTCCGTCATCGTGAGAGTTGGCAAGGTATATCTGGAATACAGTATTGCAGTTGAAATGACTAGTGATCGGTGGAGCATATTGTCTAGCTTGGTAGAGAGAGGAGAAGGTTATATAGTGGGAGGGAGACCATAGGAGGCGATAATGTGCCGACGCCACTATGATGATCGCACTTCACTGAAAACGTTTGACTGTCGCTCTATTCTCACTCGACCTGTGCGCAGTTCAATTTCACTTACACAATTGGAATCGTTCCTTTGCCATCGCGATTACGACTCAAATGTCGCCTGTGGCTACATGGGCCTCGAAATGTCTCAGATTCAATAGAATGATCTCTTAAACCACAGTGAAAGAATATAGATGACATGATGGATTTCAAGTGTCGCGATGTCCACCTGTGCTACGGCGTCCGGATGGCGCTTGAGGTTTGTAGTGGGTGCAAATTACCTTGTTCTTCTGAATTGATGACCCGAGGGGTGGAAGACGCTTCTCATTGCCTGACATAACTACACAAAAGTGATCAAAGGTATATACGTGGTCGTTATCAGATAGAGCAGAGAAAGAAAAGATGAAGTGATACTGCCTACAAGAGATAAGACAACTGCTTATATACAGTAGTCTGTTTGCTACATACAAAGGAATGTAAAGACAATCGACCTGATTGTATATAAGATAGAAGCTGATGGACACCAACAGTCGTCGGGATTGCTGAGACGTGCAGCGGATTTGGCGTTGGCGTGGATGGCTCAAACGCCGGTCCGACTGAGGTCTCAGCATCCAACACGACAGTCCTTTCGCCAACCATGCTGGCAACATTCCGCCACAAAACCTGGCTAAATTCGCCATCGCAACAGAGTATGTGACATGTCTCGCTGAGAAAGCAATTCTGCGATTCTACCTTGCGTTAGACCGACGCCTCGACGAAAGTAGTCGTCCTAGTCAAGCTCGCGACTGCCGGCGCAGTCTGCCATGGTGTCGCGTCCAGGTGCGGGACGGTAGGGGCTCAACAACAAGAGTGTAGAGAAGGTCTTAGTCCTAAAGGCAGCGCTCTAGCACGCGAAACGGTAGGTGTCAAAAGTCGAGGGCGAAGTCTGATCGGCCGGCTAGCGGGACGCGATCAGCAGATTGGGCAGACGCGACAGACGCGACCCTGAGAGCGGCCCAGACCATAGTCAACCGCAATGAAGCGCACACAGGATCACCGCGCTCCATGCGATCTGGCGATATGCGCAACCACTCCTGGATGTGCTCCAGGGATCTGTGAGATCACAAGACGGTAATTGAGACGGTGCAGCCGTTCGACAAAGTGCTAAGCGTCATGACGACATCATGAAGTGCGCTGCATCCAATGCGCGCGTCACGTCCTAGCAACGCCGGCGAGAACAATCGGAAGTAATCATCGATACCCCCAGGACAAGGGAAATCACAACGTCCAAGCGACTTCGGCGTCAACAAACCGCGATACAAGCATGCCTTCCGCCGGGCTGAAGATCCGCGATATCGCGCCGACGATCACCACCTTCTCCACGCCATTCAACCGCTTCGCGCCGTTCGGGTATCGCAGATTCGTTGCGGTAGGCAATCGAGCCACAGCCATCCGACTACACGACAATCGAATACTGCTTCTCAATCCCATACAGTTGGAGGACGCGGTGCGCGACAAGCTTGATCGACTGGGCGGCGTCCACCTCATTGCGAGTGACCTGGGCCATCACATGTACGTCAAAGACTACGTCGATGCATGGCCAGAGGCAAAGACTATCGGAGTTCCGGGACTAGATAGCATGAGAAAGGACGTGAATTGGAATTATATCTATAAAGACTGGCGGACAAGTCCGGAAGACCAGTTCGACTTTGCGCAAGACTTCGAGACCGTGCTATTCGAGGGTTTCATTACATACTGTGTCGCTTGGTACCATAAGCCAACCAAGACATTGATACAGTCAGATCTCATGATGAACCTGCCATGTACAGAGGTATGTTTGCGCCCACATGCAATATAGAGTACGGACACTGACCGAATGTCAGCAATACCATCCCAGCTCGTCAGACCAAGGTCCGCTATCGCGCGAGTTTGCGAAGCGCGCACATCCTCGATCGATATGGGCGAAGCGCCTCGTGTACTACATAGCGACTGTTGACTACACTTTGATGCGACGCGATGCGAAGAAGGTCGCGGAATGGCAGATTGACCGAATAATTCCATGCCATGGCGACGTTCTCGAGAGTGGCGGAAACGAAGCTTGGTCATCGGTGTATGGGTGGTTTTTGAAGGGCACAGCCAAGCCAAGTGTGATGAAGAGGCTCATGAATCCCATCATGAAATTTGCGAGGAAAGTGTTTCTGATGTGAGACATAGTCGTACCTGCTCTGTCTTAAAATACAGGTGGCACGGCAGGGTCTGCACCCAAGAAAGCGAGTGAACTTTGGAATGGTACCAAGTCGTATTCCTGAAGTATTGTTCGTTGCCATCCTTGCTTTAATCTCCTTGCCGTTGAGGCCTAGCATAGTAGACCCTCCCTGCACTTCGACCCACAGCATTATTGGAAACGATGTGTAAGTTGGGTTTGTTATATCGAAGAACTTTTCGGAGTGGTGGGTAGCTAGGTCGTCAATATGGAAAGTGACCATGGCAGCAGGCATGCGACAAGCCGGTTATATCGCAATTAAGTGGCCCACAAAGGGCAAGAGTTCGGTATTCAGTGTTTCGGAACTCTCAACAACCATAATACTAGATACGTCCTCGAAGCAAGATCAGCTTGGACGATTGAATGCATTCGATGGCTACCGATATAATGGAGCCTTGAAGTACGGAATGATTTTGCGAAGTGGTGAGGCTTGCTGGGAAGTATATGAGGGCTTTGTTTCGAGCCGATGTGATAGCGTTGCGGGATCGTCTGTGGCCGATTCTTTGGAGCAGTGCTTGTTACTGAACATCACTACAATAACAATCCGAGAAGCTTTTTCATCACCAAAGTCCAGTTCGTATGACGACGTCCTGCTGGTCCGGATTGTTTCTTCACCCTTTCAACATCCGCTTAAGCTTAACCAGGGGTTCTCGGAACCACTTTTTTAACTTCTGGCTGATACGGTGCTTCTTATTGTTCGGTTCGGTTGTCGGAAGAGACCGACTTAGTATATCGATGCCAGCGGCATCCTCGCGCGATGCTTCTGTGTGTTCTGGTTGCGATACTACCTGTAGGAATTGGTCTTTCGTCTCTTTACGCGTCACTGCTGTTGTTACGATCTCTGCAGGTATTTTCGAAACACTTTTTTCAAGTGTGCTTGGTGCGAGGTCCTTATGAACCTTGCTTTGCTCAACATCCTCTCGTCTCGATTTCCGAGATCTTGTGCGCATGAGCAGTCCGGGATCGCTATCATCCCCCATTATGAGATCATGATCATCAGCAGCCGATTCGCGCGCTTCTTCAAACAGGCTTATATTCGCCGGCGCACGCAAAGAGGGTGCAGAGTCGTCTCGTCGAATATAAGCCAGATCTCGCGAATGATCTGGTGAAAGACGTGTAAAATCTTCGGGATTATTCGCTTTCAAGATTGAGTCCAGAATCTTGGAGAGGTCGGTGCAGATAACGTCGATCTTTTCTCGTCGATCCGGCGTGCATCGGAGCATCTTATCTCCAATGACATCAAGCAACTCTCTCGCGAACGTAGTCTCTGTGCTGAGGTCTTTCAACTCTCTCAGGCGCTGGATAGCGATCAGTATAGTTAATCTCCAGATTCTCGGTGGTCTTACGTCTTTTACGGCTTGTTTGACCTGCGGTTTCCGTTGTCCATCTTCCGATTTCGCAATATTGAAAAACTTGTCGATTTTGACTCCTTCATAGATCACCAGATCTTCATCTTCTCTTTGTAGACTGAAGGATTCAACTTCATCATAGCCTTGGAGGTACCAGACGACGAACTCTAGAAAGACGCAGCCCAAAGACCAGATATCGTACTTTTGTGAGATCCTCTCCTCTATGTCCAACTCGGGTGGTCGATAAGCGTAACTGCACCCGTCAATACGTGAACGGGGGACGAGAGACTTCGAAGATTGCGAATGATAGCGTGTAAGTCCAAGATCGGAAATCACGAGAAGATCGTGATCAGTTTCATATTCTTGAAACCAGAGGATATTCTCGGGCTTGATATCCCCATGCCTTCCCCAGTCACGCTCAGCGTCGTTGAGTGATCCAAACGAGGATGATCGGCCATTCTTTTGCCATGTAGTAAGCCCGTGAATCCTACTGACTGCCCTCGCAAGGCCGAGACATTGTTTTGCTGCCCATCGCTCGTCCAACAACGTAGGTGGCCTGGTACGATGAGTTTCCCAGAATTCACCGAGATTACCGTCCGCCCATTCGAAAAGAAGGTAGAATTTATCTCCGTGTCGAAACGTGAGCAAGAGCTTAATCAGGTGCTTCTCTCTCTGCACCTGAGCACAGGTCTTTTCAAGTGCAGCAAGCTCATCTCTGTACGCCTTGTGATCCCCTGCCTCTATAGCTTTCAATGCGAACACTGGTTTGACCGAAGACTAAAGGTGTTAGACTTGCTTGAGAAAAAACAGCACAATACGGATACTAACATTTGATCCTGTAAAGTTGTGGTGACTTGGGTGGATTTCAACCTTGTGAACAACACCAAATCCTCCATTAGTCTTGTGTTCGTATTTCTTCCAAGGAAGTCTGATATTTGAATCCAGCTCGTAAGAACACAGCCGGTGTTCCTGTATATCAAAGAAGGGGACGAAGAACATCTTCTGGAAGGAGCAGAAGGAGTTGATGTCAATTCTACTCCAGTTCTCCATCAGCTTGTCATTCTCTGAGTTACGAGTTCTGACACATCCCATAACGCTCCCCGCTGAGCGTTCGAGGGGTAGGTCATCGTCCCAAATGTCCTCTCGGATGAAGTGCTCAATATGTGCAACTTGTGACATCAGGACCAAGATACCCAAGGTACGTCGCCGACTTCGTCCCGATATTGGGTTCACTATACTCTCAAACTTCTTCTTCAACTCTTCACTCGTTGCGAAATTGTAAGTCTCGTCCAAGAGCAATGCGATCGCCTTAGCATCTAAGATGGTTTCAAAGGAATCAAGTGGCAAAAATTCTTCCTTATCGAGCTGACTCCAAGCCATAGATCCTTCAACTTTGTTTTGAAGGTCAGACAAGATACATCCGGACTCTAGTGGATCCCGTGATCGAGAAGAGCGACGAAATCTCCGCTCTTCAAAAAGCGCTTCGAGAGGAGAGGACATCACCGAGTCGCAACCGCTGGGTGTGTGGAAAAGTGCCGAAAAATTTGCCGCAGCAGCCTCAAAGCCCAGATCCTTGACTTTGTGAACGGAAGACTCGTCCTCGCTTCGTCTGCTTTCCGATGCCGGGATGGGTCTCCTATCATAGTCGCCTTCATCGACCGGACGACTCTTCCCTTTCCCATCGTCAATGGTTATGTCAGGGCCACCGCTAAACTCGTTCTCTCCGAAGTACAGTGGCCTACCGAATCGAGGACTGAGAAGACCCGAATTTGATACCGGTATTGTCTGTCGTTGAACACGTGATCGCGGAACGTTGCAAGTTCCATCGGCTGGTTCGATGCCTGTAGCCTGTGGGTGATGCCCTGCCTCCAGCACTGTGAGTGGATCCATAGCTCGAAGCTGTCATGTCCTGTGCTTGGTACTCAGATGTGTGATGGCACAAACCACATCGAACCAATTAGCCCTCTCGACATCCGGGAAGTGAGTTCGAAATAGAGACAGGTAATAAGAAGCGGTAAATCGTGGAGGTAGCGTATCCGAGCATTAGTTTCATGAACGGAAGCAACAGGGCCTGAGATTGGTCTTAAAGCCCACATACCGGCTCATATTCCGTGCATCTCGAGCCGCTTGAGTATTATCAAGCCCCCAAACTCCTGCTTGCAGGGGCGCAAGACGGGAGTTCTGTGTGTGCACCTGGTTTTCTGCCTGAATTCTGATTGGTTCTGGGTGCCAGAACTGTGCATGGTGGCGCAAAGCTGAAAAGCAGCACTGCCTCAACATCCTCCACACCGAATCCTCTCTGAGATAGGAACCAATGCAACTTATACTAAACGACGGCGAATGGTGTTTGGAATTTCTTCGAGAATATATACTTCGTTTATTGTCGCTTTGGCGAGCTGATATGTTCCGAAATGCGATCTTTGTTGTATTTCAAGCGATGTATTTGAAGCGACGGACCTTCCTGTTCCGATGCCGCCACAAGCGCTTCCAAGGAAAAAGAATGACATCCGTCATGAAAGTTAGCCGATTCACATTTACGGGTGAACAACGGAGACAAATGTCTAAACCCTTCGACAGGGCGAATTTTGAGTCACATCAGGGTCGCACCATGTGATGTTATCGCCTGAGTCACACTATGAGCCTTCTCTAACCATCGCCCTCGAGGCACCGACTTTTGTATCAGACAACACAAAGCGCATATGCCGCCTGTTTGACAACAGCAACGCTGATGCGCTTTGATTGGCGAAGTGTCTGTGCGCCATCCAACAAGTGTTGTGTCAAGCACAGCCGCATGCAGTTCAGCTGGCCCCGATCGTCATAGCCCGGTCAGCCGGAACTTGCGCGCCTCCTTAGTCCGGGAAGTATAATGCGTAGGGGCCAGCCGCAATTTCGACGCGACCACCTTACTTAGCGCTCGCCACTTGGCGCATTCGTATTTTCATCGCCTTCACTTTGCATCCTGCCTTCTCCACGCTACATTTTTGGTGCTTTGTAAAGCCCTGATATACTATGTCTGAACGCTTACTGAGATGCGTGCGCGAAGATCAGAGTGTGACGGTCTACACGGAACATACAGACCGCATTCATCCTCGAGACCTTTCGGACAGCCTTGCAAGGAAGGTGGGAAAGGACAGATTTCGTGTTTCCCTAAGAAAGAACATATATATCATCTACATTGATGCGAAAACGCACGAAACAGGGAGTGTGAGTACAGCGTATGCTACAAAAGACCAGGCTGATAAAGAGATACAGAAGCAAGATGCACACTCGGATGACGGAGAGGTGCAGGCAAAGCTTGCGATTCCACCAACATATCAGCAAAGACTGGAAGATTTCAAGTTGGCGGAGAAGATACTACGCGCCAGCAGGCTGCCACATCAGTGAGCGATTTTCTGCAGGGCGACGACAGGAGGAAGAAAAACGGCAACCAGCACATCCCAATCTCTAGCTATTGCGATTGAAGATATCTCGTTCATGGCCTCAGATTTCGTAGAATGCGGTGTTGAGTGGTGCGCATTGCTGGAAACAGACAAGGCGAACAGATAGGGGGCCCCTGCTTGACTGACGTGGCACGTCCAGAGGCGTTGACCTGCTTGTTACTAGGGGTGTCATGACTTATGGCAACTCTATGGAAGGGATGATGCTAGTCGACGCAAGTCTGAAAGTATAGCTTGCAGGCAACACCATAGTGTGTCTTGGATAAGATGATGTTTGGAGGACCAAGTATAGCTCAATAGACATGCTACTAATGGATATCTACCCATTCTCCTTTTTCATCAATGACACTGGAGATGAGTGAAGCAACTCCAACCCTTTCCCAAATGTGGCCCCCATTAGGACGGCGATATTGATTTATCACCAACACGTGGCTCTTTGGGCTCTCTTCCTCTCCATCACTTCTGTCCCTTCCAATGACAACGCATCGAAGGTCGTTCACTTCGAAATCGTCATCACTATCGAACTTGATGTACACCAACATATCCGTCTGTGGAATATGCATCCTCCTCGTCAACCCCTGGAAGGCTATTACCTCATGCATGCTTGTAGACCCTTTCGAGACAGTGAAGGGACTTTTGAAATCGTTGGTAGCCCATGCAGTCTCCTTGAATCTCAATTGATCAGTTGTATCCATGTATTTGATACTACCTTCTTTCGAGAGTGACGACCAACTGGGCACCTGGCGACCTGATGGTTGCGCAATGCGCCTCATACGCTGCCAGTCGCGACGTCTCCAAAGCAAACCTCGGGCGAAATATGCTTCGAATAGTCCATGGGCGGCTTTTGTAGTGAAAGTTCTTGAAAGTCGTTCTTGCAAACCTAGTATCGCGACGGATCGATCTGCAGGTTCGGTGAACGCCAAGCTTGAGTATCGTTCGTATAAGTCCTGTATGAGTAGTTGTCTCCCGTCTTTGTAATGAGCCACGGCAGATGTTGGGAAGTTAGCGTCACCCAGGAGGGCAGCTTTAGAACTTTGGAGATGCATTAGTCAAGGTAGGCAAAGAGATGTTTTGGTTTCCATTGCAAACAAACTCACTTTTTGAGACGGGCCAATGTTTCACAGTGTATGCCAGCCCCACATTCCCAGTAGACTTGTGAGGACGTAAAGAATACCGTGCGACGGGATAGCGCCCTCTCTTGCAACACCCAACCCCGGCTATTGAGCGGCGAAAGCTCAACATCTTCATGAAAGTCGTCAATATCCATACAAGCATATATCGCACCCGATGTATCACTCGGGACTTCCACCACAGATCGTGGGCGCCGATCAGCAAGGAAACCTTGAAGCGATGATCTGGCTGAGCTTGCGCCGATAGTTAGGTATGCAGCACTGAAAACCTGTTCCATCTTGCTTGCTTCGCTTTGCCAATCAGCTTCATCATCTTGAATGATGCAAAGCGAGTCAATCCAGATGTAATCCATTGAAATACCCCGTGCTACAATGACGGCATCGCGGAATGTTCGTGGCAGTGCGTCGAATTGGATCCCTGCCTTGCGTTGAGTGATATTGCGCTTGTAGGTGCAGAACTTTTCGTGCTCCTGTAGATGGCCCCAGCAGTGACTTAAAGCGACGTATCGCGATGGTTCGATGTTCCTAGTATCGACGAGGCGAAGCTGTTTGCCCACTTCTATGAGCCGAGTCGGCATTGTGAGTGTGACGTTATCACGCTGACACTGGTCATGATCTGAGTCACAAACTCGGATCCATTCCTTCAGAAGTGCGAAGAATTCAGGGGTGCTTGGATTGAAAAGTTGTGTCAAACCTAGTTGTGCGCCTTCGGGAACTGGTATGTCCGGATCTGCATGAGTAAGTAAGGATGTATAGCAATGGCAGATAGACCACATCTTACCGAATGTACGATATAGAGAAAGAAGATTAGGCCCATCTGCAAGGCCTACGTGAGCAGCGTCAGTACGCAAATTGGCTCTTCCCGGTGGTTTAAATTTCCTTCGTTCCAATGCCTCTAGCAATAACCTGCACAGATCGCAGGCTTTCGCTGTATCTTGTAGTGCTGCAAGGTCACAAATTGAATCGAACAAATCCACAGACGTGTTCGAGTAAACGTGATTGCAAGTTGCTGCAACGGCTCTGCTTGGTGTTGGCCTCATTCGACTCCGTCCTATAATATTGAGATATCCAGCAGCGAAGTCGTTGTCTGGAAGAGACGTCCAGTCGTCGTTTAGTACGCTGGATTTCTGCGCAAGTGAGTCACTATCGTCTAAGGTTCGCGAGAATACCAGTACTCACAGACTGCACTCTGTCAGCGGATCCAACAGTCATCACGGAAAACTTACGATCTGTTTTGAGGCGATATCACTTCGTCAATGAAACTACATGCGCTGACTGGAGGGGATGACTGACATTCTGTGTCGAGGTGATCAGTTGCATTCGGACTATTCGTGGCTAGTAGCGAAGCTTACGTACTATCGCTGTTGTGTTAGTTTACTAGTCCTAAATGTACTTGGAAGTCGAGGTCAAGACAGACATACTTCTTGATGATTGGAGGCTTGTGACGCCTGACTGTTCTGGTTGCCGAGATGTTGAGGAAAGGTTGGCTGGCGGAGATTGAAGCGAAACTCGACTGGCAATTCTGAAGTTCGATCGTCTGATGCTTCATGAGTCAAGCTCTCTTCCAGTTCTGGAATCGAAGTTTCTTCTGGGGTCTGCTTTGTTTCTACAGTAGGCTTAGTGATAGGATTTTGCCCAGGGACGGCAAGTTTGCCATCCTTTTCATGAACTTCATTGTGTTGAGCTCCATTTCGCTGAGTTGCTTGACTGTGAAGCTCGATTTTGGGATACTGCAGCCTTTCTTCGAGGGGCGTCAGGTAGTCTTTCTCGTTTCGCGCACAGCTCTGATAAATACCCTCAAAGCACTGATGCACTTTAGCTGCGCTCGCTCGACAGTCGTCCGCCACAAGGTTGTAATCCTCAGAGTACTTGACCACCAAGAGTCGGTATCGCACAAGATCAAGAAGATCTTTGTAAGCTGAGTGGGCCTTGAATTGGGTGTCCAGGGATTCCATAATCGCAACGGCATATTCGTGGACTATGTATCTGGCATGCTCGCGTTTGTTTCCCCTCTGCCAAAAGTAGGGCGTATTGTCCCTAAAGATTGTGATATCGCTAGGCCCATATGCAAGCCACAAGAGGAGTTCAAACACGACACATCCTAGGGACCAGATATCGTATTGACGTGATCGTGCTTCATCTGTATTACGCTGCGCATCCATCTCAGGTGGCTCGTATCGCGAAGTACCCGAGGGTGTCTGGGTAGGCATTCCTTTGCGATCTCTTGTGTTTGCTTCTTTTACATGGAAGGTGGCGAGACCCAAGTCTGCGATCTGCAGTGTACCTCCCTGCTTGTCTTCAGGATCGAACCAAAGGATGTTCTCAGGCTTCAGATCACCGTGCCGGCAATTGCTTCCATGAAGCTCTTCCAGCGCGCCACAGATCTCCACAAATTGATGAAGCTGCCATAGGACATGTGTTCTATCTCGAGCACGTGATGGATGCTCCTCCCAATAACGGCCGAGATTACCTCCATCTGCCCAAGGAAACATCAAACATCTGTTTTGGCCGATCTGGTAGCCTGCGATTGGCTTGATAAGATGCGGTGAGCGGTAGTTTCGCAGAATGTCTAGATTCCTGACCTCCTTATCGAAAAATGCGGCGCGGCTAAACTTAGGATCGTCGTCGCCTTCCTTGGTTTTCTTAACCGCAACTGCTATGGCTTCTATTGGAAGAGGGATTTTATCCTTGCCCGATGATCTTGGAGACCACGGAAAAACAGAGAGCTTTGCCGATGGATCAACGTGTTTGGCGTGAATGATAACTTTGGTAACCTCCCCAAAATAGCCACTACTCGCAGGTCGTGGTGCGACGTCCAGAAATGGCAATCTCTGTGCCGCAGCGAGCTGCAAATGGAATTTCGATGTGCCAAAAACAGGAGCTGTGAAAAACCATTGAGAACTCGTGAATGAACGTCTCCGTTCTCGCCCCCACTGGGTGAAGACTGAATATCGGGTAAGATTGACTGGCTCTTGTACACGTAACGTTGTCGCGAGATAGTTTTGGTCGAGTTTGATCGGCAACACAGAATCAACAAAATTCTCGTTTCGGAAGTCTTTGAGTCGCTCTTCCAGGGGTTCACTCTCCATCAAAACAAGGATAAGGAATAATCTCGGCGCCTCGTTCGAGATAAAAGTGATGAGCTCAGCCATACTCCCGAACAACTTTGCGTCACCGATGACAGATAAGATTTTCTCTTCTTGAGTGAAGTACCTTATCTTATCTTCAGGTAGGAACTCCTGGCCATCGGAATTGTAGCAAAGGGCATCATCAATCTCCTTAGCCAGCAATTCTATTGGAGTCGAGCCGTTTGCCCATAGCATGGCATTTTCTACACTGGAGGTCAAATATGAACACATGAAAATCAATAATTTGGGCGACCTACGGTACATGACGTTGACACCTTTCAGCGATCCTGACAGGAGGTATTGTATGATGATGATCAGAAGGTCGAATATTGGCTGAAGCATTCTGGTTTGAGATCGGACCTCAGCGTAGGCAAACCTGTGGACTCGTCCTGAGAATTCAGGCGTCTTCCGCATCAGGGTTTGGTCGTTCTTATCTCTATCTCGTGGCGTTTTTGCAACGAGGCTGAAGATCGGGCTATGCATGCGCTGGGATGCAAGGTAAGCCGCCCACCATGTCACTCTTCCTAACATACAGCGCCCCACAGGTATCTTGCTTGTGATTTGTGGTCACTGCGGGGTTGTGCAGCCACATTACCCTCAGCTAGACGATTCAGGCGAAGGCAGACGGGAACGGGATGTGGCTGCATTGCGGGCTCGGCCCTCGACGAGGCTAGCCAATCTCCATGCTCTGCAATATTGCACGTGCGCATCGCAAAGTGCAGCCTCTCACAGAGGTACCCTGCACACGCATCAGCTGCAAAGGGTGACTAGGCTGACCGGAATATTCAGCCCTCAAGTCATCCTCCCCATGGCGGTCAGACTTTGGGCATAGCGACATGGGAGTAGATGACGGTAGGAGTCCTCCGTTGGGACATTAAACCGGTCGTCGTTTCCACGACTTTGGGGTCCAAATCGACGATGCCAGCCCCTGTTTCCTCTTCCATAAGCAGCGACGGCAAGAATGAAGAAGCTGTTCGCGAAAATTGTCTTGATGGCCTGGCTGAACTTCCTTATCATGAGCGTCTAACCCGCTTTTTGCGGGGTGCCGCAAGACACTGGGTCGCAGGCGGCATCTCCGTTATCGATTTCCGGCCTTTATACACCATTACACTCTACGATCTGCAGCGACAGCTCGCTCGAGAGATCCAAAAGGTCGAGGGAGAAAACATTACAGATGAACAGTTGAGTCGCATGCGAGGAACCTTGCATGAGTATAGTACGTCATCCTTGACGCTAACAGCACTGGCCTGCTTACCTAACACCCCACCCAGCCAATGCGCTCCGTGACTTCGAGTTCATCCACGCCAACCGCTGGTCTACCCAATTCGTGAAGGATATCGCAGCGTCTCGTATTGACAATGGCAGCGGCTCCAAGCTCCAGGGCGCATTAATTCCGGACCTCAACCTCACCGTTCCGAGCACTCACCGCAGCCTGTTCCGCGATGCGGATCTCCTCGGATCTTTCGACCCGAAGCTCATGGAGCACAGCAATGCGCTCGGACAAAGTCTAGGCACAACTCGCGCGCATGCGTTCGCAAGTGAACAGCGAAGAGAACAGTTCGTTCTAGCGTGGAAACGATTTGCTTCTGCGTTCGTTGGTGGCATGATCATTGTTGTCTCGATGCTGATATTGCTTGTGGGGGATGTGAAGACGAAGACGTTGGCGGTCATCCCGACGTCGATACTGCTGTTTGCAGTTGGTGTAGCACTATTTGCGAAGACGGATCCAGTCAATCTATTGGCTGCGACGGCAGCGTATGCAGCAGTCTTGACAGCATTCGTCAAGCTAAACTGATCGATACTGCGAGGTCATAATATAGACTTGAAGTATACCAACTTTTTGAAAGACCAAGTGCTTTTGACATTAGCAGACTGAGAATATTTACATTCAATCTACCAAAAACTTGGATGACTACCATATCATACCCCATCGCCGAACACAACTCGCTCGAAAGCTCTGTGAGCCCAATCAAAGATAGATGGTATGCTGCTAACCTCGAAGGCTGGGAGAACTGCGCTGCCTAACTAGGCAATGTTGGAGGTAATGCGCATGACCACGACACCAAGTTAACAACGACCACTTCACGCCTTCCTTGTCGGCCTAGAGGCGACAACCTTCTACCTGATTCGCAACGAAGACAATGCAGCTCTTTTCCGAGTACATCCGCTAGCCATTCACCAACTATCCTTGCGAACCCTACTCATCCTTAACCACTCTACCGCAGAGTGCATCTCCGGCGCAGACCCATACCACGACCACTTCACACCCGCCATTACCTCCCTCTGCACGACGGTCCTCCGCTCGAGAAACCTGACGAGATAGCTTCTACCAGGGCTAAGCATACTGAAGGTCTTGAGCTCATAGGGAAGAAGAGCTGTCTCTGCGTGGATCTGCCGGCAGACGAAGAGGAGACTCAGATAATTTTGGAGCGTGTGTGGAAAGCGAAGTTCAGAGTGACGAAGCAACTCAATGTCTTGGCCACGGTCCAGGGCGAAGGTCCAAATCATGTTGCGGATTTCAGCTGGAAGACGTAGGAGTGGTGAGTTCATGGTATTGCACCGAGAGCTGGGATGGCTTGTCAGATTCATGACTTCCACTGGTTCGCAAAAGGTTGGTTTTGCTCACATCTCATCCTGTGTCTGCATCACGTGAGACGCAAAGCCGGATTCGGTGCTTCTCCGGTTCAACATACTGGAGTCATGAACAGTCGGCGAGATTGAGCAATTGTGGAAGAGGAGTCAAAAGTTATGTGCAGGGGAGTAGCAGAGTTTTATGCTGAGCAGGTGTGCCACACCTACGACAAGGGGGTAGTGAAGGTGGCTGGTGCCCTTTCTCTATTTCGGGAAGGAAACCCGACGCCGAAGTTTTGCAGCGTAAGACCACCTGGCAATATCACCGGCGATCTTACATCAGTGTCACGTCAATGGTCGTTAGTGAAAACGGGATGAAGTTGGCGTGTGGATTACAGTGTTACGTAGTCTATCTCATATCTAGAACTCGGCCACGCGCGAAGCACCTTGCCATCGTCGAGAAGTTCTACACGAATTGACAACATCGGGTTTTCCCAAAGTTGCAGCGCCTGCGCGAATATCTCCAAAACCTGAGAGACAACGCGGTCTCTCATCTCTCCTTCAGATGATTGGAGTGTCTTCAAGTGTTGGGAGACGACATTGTGGTAAGTCTCCTTCTGTTGCAGACTACCCCCGCCAAAGACAATATAGCAAATGGGGACAAATCCGGGGGTCGCGGGCTCTTGTAGCCTCCAGGCTCGGTGCAGTCCGGAGAACATGGGCGCAGAGTTGTTCGCGATGTCGGTCTTGGTGGCATTTCTATGTTTGCCCTTGTATTCATTGTATGTCGCCTCGATCTTCGACGACTGGTTTGCTGCGATCGCGAACGCAGTGCATAGGCCGACGCCTTGGTCCCAGAGCCACCTTGGTAGCTCGTCGTTCCATTCAGGCCTTTTATCGGCCAAGAGCTTTCCGTTGCTCTTGCCCAAGGCTTTCGTAGCCAGATCACATCTTGTATTCGGATCGGCTTCCTCGGGGAGTCGGTCGCATGGCCGCATGTAATCTTCCCATGCCTTCTTGGCTGTGGCGAAGTTTGTGGTGATAATGTGTTGGAGGCTCGAAAGATTTGTGTAGTCGGTGTTGGAGTGCAGAAGTGATGGACGGGTGCTACGGACGGTTCTGACTTTATAGATGTCACGCTAGTGGGCGTGGAAGGCACCAATAACAATACACAACATGGCTCCTTCTCATCAGTCGGAAGCCTCCCAGATCTTCACAGACGCATCTTTCGCTGCATCGAGGTCGTTCAAAGTGGCTAGTTTTGCGATTCAACGAGAAGTTTCATGTTGCTATAGTAGGTGGGATGCGAAAGTGGCTGTCATCTTTTTTGCGCTGGTCAACCCGTCGGTGGTTAACGGAGAGCACGTCTACAATGCTTACAGCCGACATTGCCTTTCAATAAGAAGACTCGTCAAGACGAATAGCATTGTAGTCTTCTGAATCCCCTTTTTGTATCAATATAGCTCTTGATATGCTGTTTTGTAGTAGGAAGGGGTATTCTTAGATTAACGGATGTTAGCTCTCGCACTCGAAGTAAATCTGGTACGGGTACCCCTAATCGCTGATATGTCGCGGGATTTTGAGGGTCTCACGAAGGCTGAGGCGGCTGTTGCGAAGATGTCATAGTGGAACGTGTGCGAAGCGTACGTATCAGTATGTGTGTGCGCGTGTGTGTGTGTGTATGTGTGTGTGCGTGCGCATTCGTGTTTGTATGTGAGCGTGCTTGAGTGATGCAGTGCTATAAGTGGCAGGGAGAAGTAGGTTTGAGTAGGCAAGAACTCTCGTGGTGTGGTTCAAGACTTTCCTTCCCGATGTTGAACCGTGGTTCTCTTTCCGCGAAATTTTCCACCCGGACCAAAGACTTAGATCTCTAGCACTTTAGTCTAGAGTAGCTACGTCGAACACCTGATATATTGGACTTTCCATGCTCTGCCGACCTCCATTAAGCAGTCGTCGATTCTTTTCTGCACTAACAGCTGGCGCAACCACCTAATTCTCAACACTCTGTAGGTAGCGATATAGTCGCTCCAACATCTGCGTTGAATTGTTCCCATCGCCTTCAGAAAGACGCTCTCCCGCTAATCCCATGTCCCATTCTCATCACTTATCCCCTTTCCGTGCTAGCAAACGCATGATGATCTTCTCAGCCTCTTCCGTGTTATGTTTGTCGTTCTCGACTAACCACCTTCCCTCTGCATGTCTCGCTTCAGCAATGATTTTTCTGGTCTTCATGTGGACTGTCGATCTCAAACTTTTCGCGATGCCTTGGCTTGTATACCCAAGGAGACCGAACATGCCAGCACCGGTCTTTGTGACCATGCTAGACATTCCTTTGCCCACGCCTTTTGCAGCGCCTGTAAAGCCTTCCTCTCGAGCACCTTGGTACGGCTTTACAACAATGTCACTGACACCTTCCATGAAGCCCCACGCGAAGGTCTTGCCTGCAACAGCTGCGCCACTCGTGAAACCTGTCACAGGTCCGTGGTCACGAGGCGTTTCGCCGTAGAGTCGAGGCACATTCTTGAGTCCATCGGTAATCGCGAGAGGAATGTCGACCATCATACCCTTTAGGGCTTTTGGAGCAAACATGCCAATGCTCGCTCCGGACGCGCCTGCTAGTTGACCTGCTGAGATAGCTTTACGTTTCGGAACAACACTGTTTGCTGATGTCTCAGCACTTGCGCTGTCAGACATTGGTGCCGATTGGTCGATATGGTTGGTACCGGTATTGGACGCTGTCGAAGCTTCTAGCTTTGATTCTTCGTAGGCGCGTCGATCGCGATCGTCTCGATACTCCGTTATTGGTTTCGTGAAAACTCCTGTAACGCATGTCGCAAGATCGACCGAAGTAGCAAGCACTGCGGACGCCCCACCTGAGATGGGATCCCATCGACGAGGCTCTATGGTAATGGGTTTGCTCTCGTATCTGTATACTAATTAGCGATCGGATGCAGAAAATGCTAATCAAGCACGAAAAGATAAGAGCGAGGCGTACAATTTTAGGTTTTTGGCATCTTTAGGAAGTTTTCGTGCCATAACTTCTGTCACCAAGGAAGAAAGCTTCCATTTTTGCCCTTTTTTGTGAAAACCGAAAGTTGCTGGAAGGTGTGGTAGTACATCGCAAGACATGTCTCTGATGGGGAGATTCCGATGGAAAGACATAACTGCAGCTTCGACGCCTCTCTCGGATTGCATCTTCTGTGCAATGACTGCAGCCGCGCTCGCTGCTTCAGGTGACAAACAAAATCTGATCGCTTGAGACAGGCTTTCGGCAGTTATGTCCCGCTGAGGAATAGGCATCGGACCAGCACCAGCAGCAGCTACCATCTGGCCCCAAAATGGCTGACTATCGAATTATTAGCATATCTGCCGACTCAACGGAGTGGACTTTCTGACTTACTCTCCGAAGAATGGCACGATAGTCGTGGGCTTGCCGTTCAGCAAACCACATGCAGTCGTCCCAGCGCCACCATGATGTACCACTGCGGCCACATGTTGAAACAACCACTCGTGTGGACAATCACCAATGAAGATTATATCTTCATGAGACTCTCCGTGATCTCCCAACTTCGACCATCCCTTGGACACGATCGCACGAAATCCGTTCGCTCTTACAGCCTCCAATATGACTGCGGTAATTCTTTGAGGGTCGTCAAGAACGATGCTGCCGAAGCCTATGTAGACGGGTGGCGGTCCACTCTCAATGAAGGATCGAATCTCAGCTGGTGGCTCATACCGAGGAGGATCCCGGAAGAAGAAACCGCAGACGTCTATGTGGCCCGGCCAGTCAAAGGGTTTTGGTACAAGAGCCGGAGACCAGCAGTAAGTCATGGGGATGCTCAGTGTGTTCGCAAGACTAGGGCCATCGAACATTCCCACCTCCTCCAAGTCCAGCGTCTGACGCCATTGGTTGATAACGTCACCAAGTCTAGATTCCAGGTCAGTATCGTCTAGACTGTGCAACGAGGAATGCTATGTCCACTTTGGATGAACAACTTACCCTTGCCATGTTAGCCAATCGACAACTCCATATGATAGATAATTTGCAGCGCTTTGTTTTCCTTCGGCGTTTTTCAGGTTCGCTAGCGGGTGTGGAAATGCTCGCGTACTTGTCCATGGCATAGTGAACATCATGTGAACAGGAATTCCAAGAGCTTGTGCGCAGTGGACATGCGCAAAGCTTGGCGGGTTGGCAATGATAGCATCTGCCACGAATGGCTCATGGCTCATCATGTCTGGTGCGATGCATGACCTCCAGAACCCTTCCAACATCTCCCTGACCATCAACTGTTTCTTCTTGATCTCACCAGCCCGCACGCTCTCGAGACTAGGAATCAGTCCAGGGTTTTTGACCATGTAAGCCATCAATTCTGAAGGATTACCGCCGATCGGATAGAATTCTAGTCCAGAACCGGAGCCTCGCACGAGATTTTGGAACATGTCATGGGTCGCTAGCCTCACTCGGTGGCCATACCGCCGAAGCTCGTCACCAAGCGCGATGAAAGGCTGCACATCTCCTCGACTGCCTACAACTTGGATGACAATGTTTAGCTTAACAGGCCACGACTTATAGCGATCCGGCCCAACCGGGAATCCTGAATACTCTGGTGGCGCATCTTCCGGTATGTCGTTAAGAGCATCACCGTAGAGAAGCGAAAGCGTCCTCACAGCTTTCGAATTCAGATCGATGTTGATGCGCCCATCGCCTAGAAAACATGAGTTTCAAATCAGCTGAATCGAGGAATTGTGAGTCTTACTGCCGGTCTTGAGCTTTCCATCATCGGGTGCGTCCGCTGATGCGTTGATCGAAGAAGATTCCTGGTAACTGCTGCGATTTATAGGCTTTCGACTTATAGCCTTTCGATCACGATTCATCTCTGTACTTTCATGGCCTTTCGACGTGTGATCTATCGGTATATCACCGGGTAGCTCGGCGAAATTTGAAAGCCTTTTTTCCGGTTCCATGGTGTCGATGAGGAATATTCAGGGTGTAAGTAAGAAGTAATGATAGTGGATGGCCTGCCGAAAAGAGTGACGAGACATATCAGACGGTTTCTAAAGAAAGCACTAAAGGGTGTTATGCGTCTGCGTATGCGTATTTGTTTAGAAGGCATGTGCACTGGCATTGTCTGGAGCTGAGCACAGCTTTTGCAGGGGTGTGTTGCGTCACCGAGCAGTGACCGCCGCCACTATCCCGGTTTCAGCCAATCAGCGCCAGCTTGCCAAAGTCAATTTTGGTTGCCGATGAAAAGCTACCAAGCTTGCTAGTATGGTTGACCATGTACTAGCTGCACAGCTCGGCCAACGTTGCTGTCACGTGATGCCAAGAATGGCAAATGCCGGGTATATATGGGGCTCATCCTACCTTAGCTTAGGTCGGTAGACCTAACACATAGGATTAGCCCCATACAGAGTCTACAGTTGCTCAGTGGCTATGCAACACCACGCACGACCTTGGGAAGGTCGCAACTGTCGCCATTCTAGGTACGCTATGTCCTCCTAGGTACACACTATCGTGATCTGGCAAGTGCCGTCGACGAGTATAGTACTATTCTCCGACTTCAAAATACTCCAGCGGATCAGCCATGTCATGGCTGCAGCATGGCAAGACTCGTGTTTCATTCATATATAAATCGACCAAACCTTCCCATACAGTAGGCACATAGCACCGAAAAACAAGCAGCGCGAACAATACGAACGACGCGAACCTGGCAAGATGGCTTTCGGCACAAACTTCAAAGTTCTTGGTACCATGACAACCACTCTGTTACTCCTTACCGCCGTCAAAGCTAGCATCGCAATCCCCAGCACCGGCACTACATCGCTGAGAGAAGAGGCGTATAAGAAGAACATCACGATTGGATCTGGAGCTATCAACCCGACATACCTTGAAGATCCTATCTTCGCAGCTATCCTCGCTGAGCAATTCAACAGCTTGCATCCTGAGAATGAGATGAAATGGTCTTTCATCAACCCTTCACCAGGCCATTACAACTGGGATCCTATCGACCGTCTCGTTGACTTCGCCAACGAACATGACATGTTGGTCAAAGGGCACGGACTCATCTCGAGCTGCTGCAATCCCGACTTTGTAGTCAACATCACCAATCCCAAAGCGTTGCGTGCCGCGATGACGACTCATTTCGAAGCTATCATGCATCGGTACGAAGGACAAATCGACCGATGGGACGTGGTCACTGAGGCTCTCAAAACTATGGGTGGAGGCTTGAATGAGAATGACTTCTCCAGAAAACTTGGTCCAGGCTACATCAACGAAGCTTTCCGCATCGCACGGGCTGCGTCCCCTGGAGCCAAGTTATACATCAACGAAAACCAAGTAGAAGTGCTTCCCGGCAAGCGTCAAGAGCTCCAAGATCTGGTTTCTGGACTCGTTGCAGACGGCGTTCCAATCGATGGAGTTGCCCTGCAGATGCACATCACCGAAGTGGCTCCGGTACCCGGCGTGATAACCGACATGGTTCGTTTCTACAAAGCGCTCGGGCTGCAAGTCGAGATCGCTGAAATGGACGTGCACACACTCAATAAAACACTCGAGACTCAGATCTATGGTGCCGTCATTAAGGAGGCTTTGGAGGCAGGAATTACCGATATCAACTTCTGGGGCTTTACTGATAAGCATGCTTACACTTGGGTGCCAGGCGCAAAGCCCCTCATGTTTGATGAGAACTACAAACCAAAGGGAGCTTTCTATGCGACTCATAGTGCTCTAGAGGAGTTTGTCGACGAATGCTAGCTAGACCATGTTGTATCACGTTGTCTCAGACATCACGTCGTAACAACGTCAGACAATGTCCCTTAGATGGCGGTGTTACACGGGGTTAGGCTATACTTCTCTAAGCTCGGTCCGTACTAAGGCGAGGTAGACTAAAGCGGTAGTCCGTGAGGTAATGTATGGAATGATTAGGTGGAAAAGAGTTATCGTTGTAACTAAAGGATAAACAATACTAATTCTATAAGCGATAGAATAACTAGTTAACAATCTGTGTAAGAGATAAACTATTTAAGTTAACTATAATAAGTGTAATAATAAAATCTGTTTATCCTTTATACCTATTGCAATCTATACTTATCTTCACTGTCCTTATATACTAATTCTTGTATCTTCTAAAGACCTAAAGATGTCTGGTTACGTGCGGACCTGTCCTTACATAATAGTGGGGTCGTTCTTGCTTGGCGTGAAGCTAGTCACGTGATTATCGCCCCGCGGTGATTATTACCTTCTGACGTGGTCGTCGGTTGGCGTTCAGCCCCGACTCCTTCATCAAGGGTGGAGTTCCTTTTGTTGCTTGTAACAGGCGGATCCTCTCTACCATTCCTCATCAGAGTCACTTCCAACTATGTGTAGATATATCACAGTATTTTCCAAGACGGTACGACGTAGAAATACAACTAGATCACACAGAAAGCTTTGATAATCATACTGTGTGCCAATGTATAAGTACAACTAGCAGCAAGGGAGTCCGGAAAGCAACGGTGCACACTATGAATATCATTCTTATGGTTGAAACGATTAGATATTGCCTCAGGACATAATCTTCCAGTCGTACCTGCACATACCTTAAACCTACGCAACAAAGATTTATCCTAAAGTCTCCTCGAAAAGCCATCCCATCTATGAACCACACTAAAGCACAAGTCTGATGACATCGGGAAGACCCGCTGCGTACTTCGTACCAAGTGGGGCGATACGCATACGCATACGCCCCATGCGCAGTGGGCCCGCTAATGTAGCGACTATCCTTAGCCCGGTCTTCAGCCCGAACCTTATCGCTAGGTCGCCCAGAATTACCCGGACGATGTACTGCGGTTTCGCAACTCTAGCAGAAATTGCACCTGGGCGTATCATATAATACGCATACGCACCGTGGAATACTGTACTAGATGGCTCAGCCTGCGGAACGTGTGTAGATAATCTGGTCCCAACGTTACAAATAGGACAGGTTGATTAGGTACTTTGAATTATAGACTTCCAAAAAACGTTGTTCGCTTTGCTTTACTGCACGTTTCTACACCTTCAACACCCACTCCTCTTCGTATTATCTTCAATTAGCGATATCATCATGGCAGAAGAGACCGTCGATTTCAAGCTTTACCGCTACAATCCTTCGATGGCAGCTGCCGTCATCTTTATTATCCTATTCTTCCTCATCACAGCATTGCACTTTTATCAAATGATGCGAACCCGGACTTGGATCTTCATCCCTTTCGTTATTGGCGGCGTTTGTAAGCTACACCCATTTTTTGCGTTCGCCGTGAAGAGATTGACTAATAATTTGTTGCAGTCGAGGTTATCGGGTATATCGGGGTACGTGCGAGAAATTGTGGCCTAAAAAGGACGACAAAACTGACGTGTGTGTTTTACAGAGAGCCATTTCCGCCCAAGAGTCGCCCAATTGGTCCGTCGCTGTCTACTCACTCTCGACTATCCTCCTTCTGGTTGCGCCCGCCCTATTCGCGGCAAGCATCTACATGATGCTCGGCCGCATCATCTTGGTGACAGACGGCGAGTCACATTCACTCATACCCAAGAAATGGCTCACAAAGTCATTCGTAACGGGGGATGTAATCTCATTCATGATGCAGGGAGCCGGTACGTATTTTTCCAATCTCCAGGGTCTAAATCGACAGCGAAGACTGACGCATGGACACTAGGTGGGGGTATAATGGCAAGTGGCACCATTGAAGCTGTGCATACCGGAGAGAAGATTATTATTGCCGGCCTAGTAGTGCAGCTTCTCTTTTTCGGCTTCTTCATCGTCACCGGCGTCATCTTCCATGCCCGTATGGTCCAACAGCCGACGTCAAAAGTATATTCCCAGTCGTTGCCATGGGAAAGACAGCTGTATGCACTCTACGTAGCCAGCTTACTTATTCTCGTGCGATGCATCTTCCGACTCATTGAGTATGCACAGGGTAACGACGGGTATCTCATATCCCACGAGGTCTTCCTTTACGTGTTCGACGCTGTGCTCATGTTCGCTACAATGGTTTGGATGGCTTGGGTTCATCCAAGTGAGATCACAGCGCTGCTGAGCAAGGGTCGAGGGAGGGCGGTGCGGCGAGTAATATCGGTTTATTCCCTGCGCTGAGCTGAGTTGTTTACACCGACGGATTCGTATAGTTATTTTTGACCTGCCTGATTGCGAAAGCAGATGTTACACGGCCGGGACAACCGCCTAGAATAGAACCTTCGCGTGGCGCAATCCTTGTATGTCATCTTGGTCTTGTTTGAAGCACCTCTGTTACACGGGGTTAGGCTATACTTCTCTAGGCTCGGTCCGTACTAAGGCGAGGTAGACTAAAGCGGTAGTCCGTGAGGTATCGTATGGAATGATCAGGTGGAAAAGAGTTATCGTTGTAACCAAA